CCAGTGGCCGGCTGCGTTATGGCCGACCGAAGGGCATCCCAGGGCTGCTGTGGATCTTGGAAAGAGTTTTCTGTGTTCATTATTTATCAGACAGTGCCAGCGTGCTTGGATTCTTCTGGGTCATGCTGCAGAGCTTGGCTTGGGAGCACTGGTTGCTGTAACACGGCCAAGCCGAGGAGCTGGGGGGACCGATGACCCCCCAGGATGCCTTTTCCTCAGCACCCAGAGCCTGGGCAGGCTTGGTGTGAAGTTGTTCTGCTCGTGAGTCAGTCTGGGTGCAGGTTTTTCCCTGGCTGAGGGCAAATTGTGTGTGTCATCCCTACATCTCTGTGCTTTCTGCTGTGCTGCAGGTGGCTGCTGTGGCTCCGACGTCAAGCAGTATGTGTACGGAGGCTGGGCCTGGGCTTGGTGGTGCATTACTGACACCCAAAGGTAAGGAGACCCTCATTATTTGTGTGGTTCGAGTAGGAGTTAGGCAAAGCCATCCCAGTGGGGCTGTCAGCAGTGTCTTTAGGAACACAGGACCGGGCACTGCAAATGAAACCATGGATGAGCATCAGCCCAACCCACGGCCTTTGGCTGTGGCCAGCTGCCGGAGCTCGGAAGGCAGGCTGCCTTGCCAACGGCCCTGCCAGGAGGTGGAAGAGCAGCACGTGCCCTGTGTCGTGCCTGGAAGCGTAAGGAACGTAGGGTCCCTCGCAACCGCACAGCTTCTCTCCATCCTCTGCTTTGAGTGGTGGGGGCTGAGGTTGGCCGAGGCCCCGCAGGAGGTAAATCCTGTCATTTCAGGCTTACTAACAGGAAACCATGATGTGCAAAATAAAATCACAAGGTGGGGGAGTTCTGTGCTGACTGTTTGAGCTGGGTGTCACAGTGCAAAAGACAAAAAAGAACAGAAATCCCATGCGCTCAGCTGAAGTACTTTTCAGATCGCCTCTCTGTCCACAGCGCTCCTCAAACCCAAGGCAATCAGGGACTTTTTTTAATTTTCCTTTTTCGTTGTTTTTTTATTTACATAAAAGCCACCAAGCTGAGAGGGCCGTAGCCTGGCTGGTCGGTGAGTGCTGAGGAAGGCAAGAGCCCTGCTCTCCTCTGCCGCTGCCTTTGCAGTGCTCTGCAGCTACGAGGCTCTTGCAGGGATGCTGGGCAGTGGGGCTGCTGGGCTGGCTCATCCATGAGTTCACCAGAGGAGCTGAGTTCTGCCCGGTATGGCCCAAACCCTCACCCAGTAACAAATACATTTGTGACATGCAGTGGGCCAGTGCCTCCTCCTGCTCCTCAAGTCTCTTTTTCTAAAGATATGCTGACTGCTGTCACCTTGGGAGCAGACTGTGTTCTTGTTTAAAACCACGGGATTTCCTTTCTCTCTGTTTCCTCAGTCGTGGATTTTGCTTGCTGCTTCTTACCACGCTGGTCTCTGAACTAATATGCTGCAACAGTGCTGCTGTCCTGCTAACTAGCTCTTTGTCTTTAGGATCTGTGGGAATGTTACTCTCTCCTAACACCTCCCTCGTGCTCACCAGTGCAGGTTTCTTCCATCTGTGTAAAAAAATAATAGGGAAAAAGGATAAAGACGTGACTTTTGGGGTTTTGCACTGAGTGATGGCCAGAGGTTGTAGTTAACCCTTACTGGCTGATCTTGCCACCTCTTTTCCCTGTTCACGTGTTGCCACCAGCAGACAAAGTGAGCATGTTGCTGCCCTCACTCTGCAGATGACGCACTACCGTAGCTGCTGTTCGCCTGGGGGTCAGGCAGCTTGCCTTCTTCGAAGGGGTCCTGGCTGCTGCTGAAAACTGACTCACGACAGCTCTCGGGTCCTCTCCCAGGTGGCTGGTAGTCAGGATTGCTACAAGAGCCTACCGCAGTGCTCCGGCTGCGTGAAGAGGTCTCGGCTAACAACTGCTGCTTTAGCCTGGGCTCTCCAGCAATGCTCATATGAGGTGGGAAGGAAGAGCCCAGCTTGTGGGGCTCAGTGCTTAAAAACTGCGTTTGATCCACATAAGCTTCGTTCCCAAATTTTTATGAGGCATCTTTTTGGGAGAACTGTTGAACAAACGGTTTCTGCTCCTCCTCTTGTGCGAGAAGCCCAGAGAACAGCGCAGGACCTTGACCTGCCGTGTGCAGGAGATAACAGATGTATTCGGGAGGCTGACTTAATAAGTTAAGCAAAGGCTGAGTCCAGGGCCAAGAACTGCTTGCCAGGAATGAGCTGTCATATGACAGAGGTCTGTGCATTACTCAGCAAACGGGGCTCTTGTTTTTTTTAACAAATCTTTTACTTTCAAACCTGTACCCGTGATTCATGCCATGGGATATGGGGCTTAATTCTCCTTTTGAGAACAGACCCTTTCCCGAATACCATAAGCCGTGCCACAGATGGAGCCCGCTGCATTGACATGAAGAGTGAGGCAGATTTCCTCCTCCGAAATTAGGACATCTTTTCTGGAACTGCCAGTGCTGAAAGCGAGAGAGACGGCAGCAATTGTGTTGCTGTCAGCGGCATCCCGCCAGGTAGCACTAACCTGGGAACAAAAGGAGCAGTTAGAGCTGGCAGGGTGCGGGGCTCTTATGGTGCCGCAACCTTGAGAGCGGGAGAAAAAAAGAGGGGAAAAAAAAAAAATGTTCAGTCCCAGTTTAAGGGTCAGAAATAAAAGCAGTGAGAGAGACAGCGTGGTGTTACATGCCTCTGGGGGAACCAAATGGTATTATTCAGCTTCTCAGGACAGGACTTGGAAGCACTTTCTCTCATCAGCGCCTTAGCCAGGGTGGCCAGGTCCCTGGCATTTTGATTTTTCTGGCCCCTCTTAAGTGTTGGCATAGAAGCACCTCAATTATTACCAAAAAAAAGGAAATTTCTGGACTCCTACAGAGCGTTCTAGCTGACTCCAGGATGGCAGTCCAGGTGGGATACACAGTTCAGTTTCATCTGCGGTGGCGTACGGGACGCAGGGTGGCGATGAGTCCCCAGCCTGTTTATCCTCATGAAAAGAAGCAGCTGGATGCTGCAAACTCCCCGTCGTGACCAGGGAAGCTGCTCTGACCCAGCGTTACGGGCGGTGGGAGAAAGGCAAACTGAACAGGGGAGTGCCGAAACCTGAAAGTCTCGTCTGTCCTTTGCAATGAGTGTCTGACTCTCTGATAACTGCTTTGTGTATTTGCTGTCCTACCCTTATTCCTCGCTGCTCAGACTGTCTTTGGAGGTTATGACCATCCTCTGTCGCTGTGAGAATATTGAGACGTCGGAGGGGGTCCCACTGTACGTAACAGGGGTTGCACAGGTAATAATCCACCAGCTTCCTAACATCATGTCTAACTGTTTATCCCTCTGTTTTGGGCAGCAGCAACAGCAGCAGCAGCAGCAGGATAACATAAAAACTGATGGTTTTCTAATGGGATGGCTGAAATCTCAATGCCCTCCTCTCCTTCCCCTTCTCCGCTGGGGCGCACTCCACAGTTTGTAGGTAATGCAGACAGATGTGTACTTGGCAAATTCCAAATTCAGCATTGCTGTGCTGGACCCTTCTGATAACGCTGCAGACATTCGCTCCAGCTGTAACCCTTTCCTCGACAGCACTGTTTCCCTTGTGTGCTTGGTGGAGAGCAGAAGGGAACCCGCTTTTGTGTGGAGCCACAACCTGGCCAGACTGGGTCCTGTACAGGATTTGGGGCAGGTGGGAAGGCAGGTTTCGTGCCGTTTCAAAAGGAAACCCGTACACGTGTGGGGAAATTGCAGCTGTACCTGGCTCTGCGGTTTTGGATGCGGGTTTCTGCTCAGGCCTTCTTCCTCCACGAGGAAACAGTGCCCGTTTTGGGTGGAAACAGTGCCCGTTTTGGGTGTTGTCACGTTTGAAAGTACAGCATAGAGACCTCGGATGAGTTGCATCATACAGGACTAGCGTTTGCACTGTGAGCAGTTATGAACCCGTGTAACAGTGGTTACCAAACATCCCTGAGACTTGCCAGCTAAGAAGCAGCACGGTATTGAAATTAAATTCAGTGTGTAGATTAGGCCTTCAGAAGGCTAAAATCCTGCACTAGCTGATGAAAGCTGTGAAAGCGTACGGCAAAAAATGCCTGTGCGCATCCTGGGCGCTGGGATCCGTTTTATCCGCTCCCAGTTTGCATGCCAGTTTAATTAGGACAGGAGCCAAGGCAGGCATGAACTTGCAGAGATCCGTTTTGGCACTTCCAGCCAATCCTGGAGCGACTCAGCCTGCCCGCAGCAGCCCAGCGCAGCCCCTTCATGGTTCGGATATTTGACCTAATGTTCGCTGACACAAGCTCCCTGCCCTGTGGCTCCCTGTCCTGACTCTCAGTGCCTTCCCAGCTTGTTAGGGCTGACATGAGAGCCAGGCTTTGCTTCCTGAAGCAGAACCTGCCACGGCCAAGCGTGTCTTCTGTTTTACCAGATCGTGACCTGCAGGTTGCCAGGTCTGGCCAAAGTACCACGAGCCCACCTCGGGTGACTGAGCAAGCTCTGGATCTGTTCCTGGGTGCTTGATACTATAGAGGCACAGCCCTAAAGAGCTGGAGAGTCACTTCTGTCTGCCTTTGGGTCACAGGACCCAGGAAAAACAAGAGGGAGAGGTGAACCAGATGAGGGGGTAGGTCTGCAGTAATGCTAACCCAGCGAGGGCGAAGGGGGGGCTGCTGCTTGCAGCATCGGCGCCGGGCTTTGCCCAGCACCAGGGCTCCTGCGTGGGGTGGGCGGGAGCATCCCGGGTCCATGCTGTGCTTTTCAACCGGTGACACCAGCCAGCGAGAGCGCTCCCTGCCCCGGCGTTGGGCAGCGTGGCCCTGTGGGGTCCCCGAGCTGCTCGCTCTTGGCCACTTGGCTAGCCCAGCAGAAGGGAAAGGGTCACAGTATCGCTTCCAGGCTGGCTCCCAGCCTTTCTCTGCTGATAAATTGCCTTTAAGCGTTATCTGAAAATCTCTTTCTTGGCCAAAGTGACTTGTCTGTCTGCAGTCACGGACGTAGTCCCGCGGCTGCGTTCTGTGCCTGTCTTACATTACCTGTGAGGAGTGCGGCAGGCAGTCCGGGGCAGGAGATGCAAAGGGAAGAGCTGAGCGTGTGTTACGTGGAAACGTGCAAATATTTTACGTTTTTTGGCAGGATTTCCCTAGAGATAATGACGTTACAGCCCAGGTGTGAGGACGTAGAGACGGCGGAGGGGGTAGCTTTAACTGTCACAGGTGTGGCACAGGTACAGTAACTCCAAAACATCATTTCAGGAATGCATGTCTCTAACTTACATCTGGTTTTCACCCTTAAGAGGTTACTGTTCAGGAACAGAAGCCAAGTGCTCTTGTACAAATTCTTGTACAAAACCCCCACTGTCCTCCTTGGTTCAAACACACTACAGCATGCCCTGTGTTGTGAAGGGGGTTGTGACCTCTCCTCCTCTCCCCAAAATCATTCCTCTTTTTCTGGGATCTCATTTGTCCACGTGGCAAATGAGGTGTGTGGGGGTGACTTGATCTGTTTGTGAAACGCTGATGTACCGCGGTGCCCTTGGAGCTGTGTGTGACCCTGCAGGACGGAGCCGCTCACTCCTGAGATGGTATCGAGCGTTATGTTGCTTTGGATTATTATTATTATTATTATTAGCACGTGGACCTTGTAATCATTCACGGTGAGTTAAAGCTTGAAGAAAGAGCTTAGTTCCTCCAGGCACTAAAATTTTTGTGTCAAATTTCTGGCTTGAATTGAATTTTGATTCTCTCAAGCCTTCTTCGTGCATGAAAACCCAGCTCTTGCCGCTTGTAACAGTGCACCGAAACACCTGCATTTCTTAGACTCCAAGGTCTGCCACCCTGATACAGAGTCTGGCCTTGTGACCAGGTCCTGCCTTGGAGAGGATGCTGGGAGGAAAACGTTGTTGGCTTTTGACAGAATTTGACTCCCCAAATAGGCAGCTGGATGCTTTGATTGAAAATTGCTCCTGACAGCTCGTGCTGGCTGTGTGAAACGGAGATAGCGGTTGTCAGTGCGCACAAGGCTGCGGTCACCGTGTGTCCAAGGCATGTCCAGGTCTGTTGCTGCAGGAGAGGCGACTGCCACGTTCCCTACGGTGAGCAGTGGATCCGAGGGGAGCTGTGGAGTGACGCAGTGACGTGACCAGAATCCCACATGCGTCAAAAGGCTCCCCCCCCCAGGGAAGAGCACCGTGGCTGCTGCAGCCCTTTTAAGACTTAAGCACTTGACAGATTTCACCCAGTGCTTTCCAGAGCGGCCGATTCCTCCCTGGGTTCATTGGTTTGCTCTGAACTGACGTGGCGGAGGAGCTGCGTGTGTGCCTGCGCGTCAGTGAGGATGTGACTTCAGCCAGGGGCGGTTTCTGGGTTGTCACACACGGCAGAAGGGCTGGGCACGACCGTGACTCAACCGCGGATAATCCATCGCCCTGCTGCCGTGGGGGAACGGGGCTACGTGCGAGAGCACCAGCACGGGAGCCACCTGCCTGGGCTCGTCCTGCCTCTAACGCCGCGAACCAGCATCCTTGTTTTCAGTTTTTCCGTTCCTTATATCCATTTAGCTGCTAAGGTGTCACGGAACTACAGCGGTCTTTGCGTGGTTGGCAAAATGCGTGCAGCCACGTCTCCCCTCACACGCATTTCATTAATCTGTAGACTTTTCCTTCTGCATTTGGAAAAGGTATTTCTGTGAAGCCAGCGTTCCCTTTTTGACCTAGCTTTGGGACATCCTTCCGTTGCCTGCAAAATGGTCTAGGCTGGGTGGCGTGCGCTAGCAGAAGGCTGGATCACTGGGTGCCTTGGTTTAAAAATGCAGCTCCCAATTCATCCCATTCCTATGATTCTCTCTTCTCACTGAGGGAGAACTTTAAATTTTAAAGATTTAGGGTTGTGAATTACCATGCAGAAAGCAGGCTTGAGGCAGTTGGGGGCGTGCGTGGCAGAGCTTACCTTGATTTTACAGAAGTACTTCTGAGGCAAACATTTTTCTTTCAAGGGCTTGTGCGAAACAGGAAAAAGGCAAGTAAATTATTACTCGAGAAACGCCTTTTAAAATGTTTGCCGTAATAATGGAAGTGCTTAATGTGCATAAAGATGCTGTTGGGTTTTTTTTTTTTGAAGAGGGATGTAATGAGTACTCCCCAGTAGCCTCCTTCCTGTGTTGGCTGGGTGCTCGGGGGGCGCTGGGATGCTGCTGCCTTAGGCCGTGCTGGGCTTCGTATCCTCCCGTCCTCTTTTTTCTGAGCCTCAAGCTAATTGGATTGTCTTTGCTCGCCCCTCGCTGTGATTGCAGCTGGCTCTGGCTGGGTACGGCAGTATCGATCCTCCAGACGGGATTGTTTGATGGAAGCGCTCTGATTCCCTGCCAGCTAAACTCGCTCTCTGATGTGGATGACATTTGAAGAAGCACCGAGTGTCGCAGTGCCCTGTCTGAAATACTGGAAACAAGCTGAGCGCAAATTGCTCAGCTCTGTTTTGTTTCGTGCAGCCTTGGCTTTGTAGGTTGACATCCGTGTTCAGCAGATAACCAGGCTGGCTCGGGGTTTGCCGGCGCAGGCAGGCTGCTGGCTGGCTTTATGCACAGAGGCTGAATCATTCCTTCCTTGCTCCTGGGAAGTACCGCAGGGAATCTCTTACAGAACATCCCGCTCCGTGCTCTGACTGTCCTCTCGAAGGGTGGGGATTGTTTAGAGAGGTGGAATTGCTGGCAGATGCACACCGTAAACGTTGCTGCCGAGGCTAATTGGGTTGGTTATTTGCAAAAACCTCCCGTTGCAGCTGCGTGAGCAGCTCTCCCAACTCCCCCTTGTGTAGAAAGGGCACGCAGCTGGCCTGGGGTGCAGGAGCAAGGAACCGCTGTGGCCTGGCCCTGCAGGGAGACCAGAGGTCTTGGGGAGAAAGCAGAAGGGGATTGACAGGCTTCCCTGAGGTTCGGTTTGGTGTTTTGACCAGGAGACCCAGCCTGAGAAGCAGAGGTGGGACACAGGCTCAGCCCGGGTTGGTGCTTCTTCACGTTGCAAAGGGTAGGGTTGTGGCAGCTGAGTCTTGGTCAGCTTGCCCTGTCTAACACAGTCCACCTCTGGTCCCCATAGAAGGTGGTGGCTGGTCCCAGTTGTCCTGCTCTCTGGCCTGGTGCTGCTGTTCGGCTCCGGGGGTTAGGCTGCAGGATCCGAAAGACTCGCAGACTATCAGACCAGGCTTTCTCAAGAAGTAGTTGTGTTGCTTTAGCCAGCAGTTTGACCCTGAAAAGTGGTCTTGTAGGTGGCAGGATGAGGTCTGTAGGCTGTGAACCCATCAAGACCGTGCATTGGGACCCTCGGAGGGCCCCTGTGCAGCACCTGAAGCTTCAGAGTTCTCTGAGCCAGGACCATGCTGGCATCACAGGCAGCAACAGGTCCAGCCAGGGCCCTTGGAGCAGGATGCAGGGTGCCACCAGCGTCTCATGGGAGAGGAGGCACTGCCCAGCCCAGATGTCTCCATGAGAGGGTGCTGTGGGACCCACTCAGGGCCCAGAGGTCCCAGCAGAGCTGTATGGCTGGTATGGCCCTGCTTCCTTCTCCGGTGCTGCCGGGCACAGAGACATTTGTGTGTCCAGGCTTTGCCTGAGCCCTCAGACTGGACTGGGCCACCAGGAGCTGTCATGTTGGTGGGTTGTAGCTCATAGCTGGATCCTACAGAGCTCTGTGAGCACACATCTCCACTGCCTAACATACCCCATAGGGATTTTTAACCCACTTTGTCTTTAGAAAAGCAGCCCCGTGACCAGCAGGACCATCTTAAGACCCTGGCTTGTCTGGTCCTGGGGATGCTTTTACATCTGGCTCTGACTGGGGGAGGTGAAAGCGGCGCTGGGGCAGCTGTGTCCCACCTCTGGGGATTGTTACCAGACTGACCATGCAGAGCAGGACAACTGGGTCCTGGCTGTGGCCCATTGGGGTCACCACGAAGGGCAGCTGGGAGCTCCCAGCCACGAGCAGGACAAACCAGTGTGCAACGGCCACCTCGTCTCATCTGTCCTTGCAGGGAAGGCCAAATGGAGCCCCTGTTCCCAAGCTGCTCCTTGGGCATGTCAGATGCTTCCTTGTTCTCTGCTTTTCCCGTCTCAGAAAAATGAATTCTAGTGAAGAAGGAGGAAGAGAAAGGTCACAAAATGGCTTTTGGCCAGGGGTAGTGATAGAAAGCCCTCTCCTCCTGGGTCTGGTATTGGTACCGTGGCTGAACTGGTGGTTCAGGGCTCTTTGGTAGGGTTTTCATCAGGTGGGACTTGTAGGGCCAGGCTTTGTCCCCTCCATCACCCAGTGGCCGCTGCTGCAGGATAGATGGCTGCGGGGAGCACCTACCCTGAGCTGCGGTCGGTGTTTGGAGAGGTGTCCTCCCCGGCCGCTGGCGCCGCTGCCTGTGCCTGCAGCAGGGCTCTCCCCAGCGGCAGTGAGCGGGGGCTCGCTGGCCGGGCCGGTGGCCTGGCTCAGCACGGTGACAGCTCAGCATGGTCCCTTGGAGCATCGGTAGCACAGGGGCCTGGCAGCCTGGTGGTGGTACTGCTGCTTCTGCTGCTGCTGCTGTTGGGTGCCTGTCCCTCTTCGGGCAGGCACCTCCAGTCCCTTTGGTTTTGTCTCCTGTCTCTAGGTGAAGATAATGACCGAGAAGGAGCTTCTGGCTGTGGCCTGTGAGCAGTTCTTGGGGAAGAACGTGCAGGATGTGAAGAACGTCGTCCTTCAGACACTGGAGGGGCATCTGCGCTCCATCCTAGGTGTGGAAGGGGCTCACGCCCTTGCAGGCAGCTTGAGCAGCTTTCTCCCTTCCCTGCCGGCTGGTCCCAGCAGTATCGCTGCCGCCGCAGCAGCTACCATGGGCGCTGCCTCTGCTGACTGCAGAGGTGCCATCTTGGGTTGTTCCTCCCTTACAGCAGCTCCTGCTGTGTTGCTGGGTGTTGTGATAAGTGAGTTTTCAGTGCCTGCAGTAAGAGATGTCTGAGTTCCCGTGGGTTACAGGTGTGTGTGGTGCTTGTGAGACCGAGATGTCGGTCTGCCCTGCAGGGTCTGGGTAGAGGATTATGCCCTTGTGCCCAGACCTGAAGAGATTAGGGGCAACGAGGATGTTGCTGAGCTTAGACCCATGCCATTGTGTGTTCCCTCTTCCCAATAAAGTGCTTGGCCTTCCTTCCCTCTGCAGGTACGCTGACAGTAGAGCAGATCTACCAGGACAGGGATCAATTTGCCAAGCTGGTGCGGGAGGTGGCAGCTCCCGACGTGGGTCGCATGGGTATTGAGATCCTGAGCTTCACCATCAAGGTACGCCCAGACGTAGGGCGCTGCTCTGTGGGCCACTTGGCAGAGCTGTAGCAGCGG